GCGCGCGATCAGGGAGAACAAAGAAAGGGGTCTTCAATTTTGTGATTCAGAAAAAATAAAAATAAATAAAAAATTGGAAAAAAAAGAAGAGGAGAGAAAATCAAAATGCGAAGCAAATTTTAAAGGAAGAGAAGAGCAATGGAAGAAGAATTGCCACGACAAGTGAAATGAAAAAAACATAATTGAAAGCCCAGAATTTGCTATGGTTGTTTTTATTTGAATCTGAATTGGAGGAGCTTCAACGAGGTTAGCCCATCAATTATTTGCTATCCGTGAAGTCATATTTATCTTGAAGTTTTAATCTTGGTGTATTTATTTTTATTCTTTCGAATTCTGAACTTTAAGTTGGAAACTCAAGCTTCAGTCTTTAATTGGAAGGTTGGCATTCGGTGTTTTGGAGAATTTTAAGGAAACAAATAAATTTCTGAGGTTTACTTGGACTTGCAGGGAGGTATCTTTCTTTGGTTCTTCAGGCAACAATTGGATAAGTGAAATAAAGGGTTTATTGGTGTTCTAGTTGTGATTATTTTGGTCAATCGTTTAACAGTTTGAAAGTTTTGTAAAAAATGGATTTTTGGAGGGAGAGTTAGTTCAATGGAAAATTTGAGATCTCTGGGTGCAGACTCAAACCTCCAAGAAGTATAGGGTATAAAATTGAGGTCCTGGATATGGGTTTTGGTTTTGCATTTTTTGGATTATTATTAGCGGGATTAAATGTTGTTTGGAAGATGGATTTTTGGAGATGGAATAGAAAAACCCTAATTTAGTTCAAACTTCTGCATCATTGTTGTAGTGGAGTGTGTTTATATTGTATGGATTTTATGTGTTGAAGAAAGAGGGAGAGATGCAACCACCACATCAGCATTCGCGGATCAATCTGGCTGAGTTGAAAGCTCAAATAGTGAGGAAACTCGGGCTGGAGGGGTCCAAGCAGTATTTTTATTACTTGAATAGGTTCTTGGGTTTGAAATTGAGCAAGGTTGAGTTAAATAAGCTTTGTCTTAGGCTTCTTGGGCACGAGAATATTCCGCTGCATAATGAGTTCATTCGTTCGATTCTGAAAAATGCTTATAGTGCAAAGGTCCCACCACAGGTGAGTCACGAGGATGAAGTTCTGAAGCATTCTACACTAGTTAGTAATAAGGAAATTCCTAACGATGGTCATCAGCAGGATGGATCCCATGCTGCTATAAGTCAGGCTACGGGTTTGCCAGGTTTGTCGAATGGAGGTGACATGTTGTCAGTCTTACCTCGAAAGGCCCGGACAATGTTTCTTGATCGGAGGACTGGTGAACGTCATAGTGCACTTGGGCCGAATGGGAAGACTAGTTTTGCTTCTCAACAATTGCCAGCCACACAGTCTAGTGATTTCAATGTCATTTATGAGAATGGGCATTTGGATACATCCGATATTGGAAAGGTGGTGCATCATCAAGGACCCAAGCAACACGAAGAGAATGAAAGGGTGGTCTCGGGTCCCCACCCCGCAAATTTGTCAGAAGTAAACAGATCATCAGATGATCCAGATTCTGTACATAGCATGGATCAGACCGAATTGTTAGTTAGACATAACACGAAAGAGGTTTCTGCTAGAAGTCCACTTCGAGCTCCACTTGGGATTCCACTATGCCCAGTTAGCATTGGTGGGGCGCAGAGATCTCTGCCTCTCACTAATAGCAGTAGATGTACTAGCACATTTGATGATGGTGCTTTGTTGGACAGTCTAAAATTAAGAGAACGAATGGAGCATGTTGCCTCAGCTCAGGGTCTTGAAGGGGTGTCAGTGGAATGTGCCAATATATTGAACCTTGGTTTGGATTCTTACGTGAAGCATTTAATAAGGTCCTGCATTCAACTTGTGGGGGTTAGGTCAGGTAACAAGCTAACAATGAACAATAGGCAAAAGCATCAGGCTTATATGAAGCTTGTTAATGGTGTCAGACCAGGGCATCAATATCAGATGCAAGGTAGTGGTAGACCTTTGGAAGTGCAAGAACATAGAACACACTGCCCGATTTCTTTGCAGGATTTTAGGATTGCCATGGAGCTGAATCCGCAGCAACTTGGTGAAAATTGGCCCTTGCTGCTGGAGAAAATATGTACACATTCATTTGAAGAATAGCATGGAGCTTGGAATTGGTCGTTTTCCCAATGGTTGCAACTTGTTCCTACTTGATCAAAACTCATACAGCATCACATACAATGCTGTTCTTCTGGGCTCTAGGGTGACCTTAAAGATAGTGATTTCTCATTCAATGCGTTTTTGATCCAGAGTGGTGCTTTTGCAGTAAAACTACATCTCTTGCAAGATGATGGGCCAGACTAGATAATCTTTATATCATCCTGCTAAAGGGCCTGTCTTCATTTTGAAGTACTCCATCATCAGCAACCTGTCGGATGAGAAGAATGCCCAGATTGCGTTTCACTGTTTTATGATTAGCACTATCCTCACTTCATATTTTTCTGCTTTCTCCTGTAATTACAGCCACAGAGAAAAGTTAGAACATTTTTGCATGAATAATGTGTAGTTCAGTACTTTAGCGAAAAAGTTGGATTGCATGATGCAATAGTCATGTGTATGTACCTTCAACATTTAGATTGATTGGAATCTCAATATTAACAACACGTTTTCCTCATCTGCATTCATTGTTATGTAAGAATTATACATGAGTTAGCGTGCCTTGCGTAGTATCTATCGGAAAGAAAATACTATTTTTGTATCACTACGATTTTATTTTTATTTTTTCCTTCTAATAAAGGTTTAGTGGCTGAATTTATGGTGTCCAATTAACTTAATTTTTTTCGATATAGTATTGATTCAAACTTATTCACGTGATGAGAGATATACTTTACCTCCAGTTCTTATTGCATTTTGTTGCTTCCTTTTCTGGGTTTTAAATACTTGTCTTACTGTTCTTCACTTGCATAAGACAACTTAATTTTTAGTTGAATCACTGTAGCATCTTATTGGTAATCTAATTCAGTTTCATGGGCCAAAGAAGCTTTTTCTTGTTACTTCTACTTATCAAGGATGGATTGTTCTTATTGGAGCATAGGACTGAATACAGTGTTCTATTTGATGCATTTTCATATTTATGTTCTGATCATTAAGTGCTCACGTGTTCAAGATGATAGGTAAGTTGAAATTCAAGTCAAGTGAACCGAAACTTGCATTGAAACGCTTGTTTGGGACCCAAATCATTTACAAAAAGAGAAGTATAACACATCATCCTTCTGTTAGTCAAGGTCCTTATTAGATAAATAATTTACATTGTAGGCCAGACTGAAAGACATCTTTCGCTTGGAATTTGTAAGTTTTCTAGCTTCTTTCTTGTCAATTGACTCACATCAACAAAAGAATACAAACATCAATGAGGAAATACTGATAATTAGTTGCTATTTTCCCTATGTTTCTTCTTCAGGAAATTGCAGTGGTTATGTGGTCTTCTTCAAGTGTACCGTTACTAGGTATTTGTTTCTTCAAGTGTACCGTTACTAGGTATTCGTCTCACATTTCTCCTTGTGCATGGTTCGGAATTTGACTTGACCCTGGACCTAATTAACATATTGAGATGTAGGAGAACCTTTGAGTTTTAGTAAACTATTATAATACCATGTTTGGCTAAGCTTAAAAATTTACTTATGATAGTTTTTAAATAATAATTTTGTATTGTTAAAGTAGGAAATCAATTAGTTACTTATTTTGACATAAGTTACTTTATATGTTTTTTCTTAGAAGCAAGAAAATAGTAAGTACTAAATATGTTTGGAAACAAGAAGTTACTTAAACTTTTACTCTTTTTTAAAGCTTAGCCAAAATGCTCTAGCTACTTTTCAACTGTTATAGCTGCTTCTGACTAGCATATGCTTATATATTTTTACTTCTGCTCGTACTACGTTTGGTACAGTCAAAAGAACTCTTTTGTGTTGAGATGCTTCGTTATGAGTAGTTATCTGTTGCTGACCAAGGAATGGGATGACAAAAATACAGGAAGAAACTCATGATTTACATTTGCTATCCATGTCAAATGTGATATTGTTTCTTTTCATTTTTCTTGTTAACAGAGATATGCATGCCAGTTTCCCTGAAATAACAATGAGGCTGGATAAAAGGAAGAGGAAAAGTATTACAAATAAATCAATCAAAGAAACCAAAACATATTGAGAAGCCTAACTCTATGCAGTGTGGAATAGACGAGCCTCAGGAGCAGGAGCAG